CGGCATTCTCATCAGTTTCCTCTCGAAATCAAGGCCCTTTATCGCGCGCGCATCCGCGGGATTTTTCTCGGCGCCGATCAGATGATCGATTCCGCGCTGGTCACGCGCGGTCCATCGGAGTATGACGTCTCGTCGCTGGCCATTCGTGTCTTCCGGCTGTCGTGTCGATCCGGCAAAAATCACTCATAAAGAATCCATTTACTGGATTCACACCACTGAAGGATGCGACAGAGAAAGAGACGGAAAAACGATCGGATAGCTGGGCTGCAAACGTCAATCGCTGAATTCTTTAACGCGCGATCGATCTTCCCCGTCGATCAACACCCGCTACCAGGTCAACATCCTCGATGAGTCCCGATCGAGTCCTCTTCGGACGTGCTACTTTACGACATCTCATTCATCGATACGCGATTTCACCGATATCAAAGCGTATCGAGTCGTATACGTTCCGCCAGATTCCGCGTCTCGAGGCCCGTATCTCCGGCGATCGTTTCCGCAAACTTTTTCAGTCATCGATTCCCCGGCGAACAATTGTGTCAAGTGCCCTCGCGAGGATGAGGCGGCGCGCTCTGGACCGATCTGTCCGCTGGCCGACACGCGACTGCCGCTTTTCCTTCGCGTTTCGGCGCCTCGTCGAGGAGAGTACCGTCGAGGAAGACGCCAAACACACAGCCGGGGACGAGACACGTGATACGCTCTATTCCGCGTCCGCTCCGTTACTCGGTGGCACGTAATGCCGCGATTCTACTCCACATTCACCTTGCACCATACACCCTGAATTCCTCTCCTCGCTGGAGAGAGAGAGAGAGAGAGAGAGAGGAGCAGTCTGCCGCTTCCTCTCCGCGACGCGCCAGACGAAGAGGAGAGGGACACTCGTTTTCGAGGGGTTCAATTAAGGTGACCGGATTTTTAACCCTGATCCGGGCGCGCGCGTGCACAGGTGTCCTATTTTCGCAACGCGAACGTGTAACCATTAGCTTCTTCTAGAAAGCTTGCGCATTTTACGCCAATACTATGCATATGCAGATATACGTCTGTTTATGGATAGGACAAGATTGCATAAAATATGAAGGAGATAGTAACTGTATTTAAAAAAATGATTTTCTAGTCGAAATTTTAAGTTAAGATTAAATCTTTTAAAATCTACGATCTATCTGTATTCATGTGATTTCTTTTTATCTTAAAATATATTTTCAATTGCAAGAAAATAAAATCTTAAATTAGAATTATTTTGTAAAGTTTCTCTCACAATAATATATAATAGGTTTTTAAATATTTATGTAAAATGTAAATTTTCTAGAAAGAAATAAGATTATACATGCGTTATTTTGCATCGTTAAAAACTGCGTAAAATTAAAGAAGAGATAAAAGATTTATTTTAGGAAATGACCTTAATTTCCATTTTAAGTGAAATGTACAACAAATTCATGATACTTGGGTAAAAGTTGATCCTTAAAGACTATCTTTCAAACACTGTAAGAAAGTGCAATGAGGTTCAGGTTTCAAGGTATGGTTGCGGTCAAATTTCTCATAGTAATTTTAAACGAGTCGATAAAATGAAATTTTCTATCGCTATACGTGTATTACGTGCGTTTAATGAGAGGTACGCACTTCTTCCGAATGATAATTTAATGCTCGCTGCGGCATTTATTAGCCACCGCGATCGGATAGAAATCCAGTCAGAAATTCATCTAGACGAAAGTAACAGACCACGTTGCATTTCAATAAGGTCAATAATTTAAAGCCTGAGAATGACGCTAATGTATACATTGAATCGCGATGATTATCTGTTAATAAATTCGAAAGAGAGAATGATTCTTCTTTTCTATCAAAAAAATTATAAAGGCAAATTCTCATCCGGTTAAAAATAATATTATTATATAAAAAAAATATATTTTGAAAAGTAAAAGTGACGTGATAGTTTCGTAATACACAGATAAAATTGCGCTGATAAAATGCATATGAGTATGCAAAATATGTAGTTTTTTCGTAATGTTTATATACGCGAGATTCTAAATTGTTAAAGAAATTACTTCTGTTGCCACCTTTATTTTATGTTTCTTTTTTTCCTTCTGGCATCAATATTTCCCAGCGATAAGTATGTATAGCTATGCCTCAGTCGCATGTGAAACATCACATTGCAAAATACACAGCCAGTATTTCAAAAGAAAAAGAAAGAAACGTATACTTGAAACGCGATTAATAATGATTAATAAAATGGCATACATTTAAGATAATATTATCGCGTTCAAGAAAGCTTTATTATAAATTATGTCCTTCATATCTCGCGTATTCTCGTGTACCAGTGCACTATTTTCAATATATGCCACAATGGCAGGAAGGGAATTAGAAATACTCCTGTGGAAATCGCTTGGAATTTCATATCAGCGAGCGATTAGCATTATGGCCGCTATCAATATCGAAAGAGATATTGCAAGAAATCTCGACAAGGAACAATGGCACAAACGCTGTTCTTTTACCTCGCTCGCGCGCGTCTATGCAACAATGCAAGGCCGCACGTACGATATTATTACTTAGATTGAATCGTATACGCCGTTGCGTACAGTTCAATTAACTATTACGACCCGGCGCTTCATAAATAATTATTCGGCCGATGATCGTTCGCCGGGAAACCTTCTACACAACCTCACGTTTCTCAGATTCCGAGATAATGTCAATGAGATAATTAACACGTCACATCCTTGTCCGTCTAATTTATTGTACTTTTTATATACCGATTTCTTTGATTCTTTTCTCCCTTAAGCAAAAATTTTATTGCGCGACATGTTTGACACTGACACGCATACGTGTTACTGTAAAGTTGATTGAAAACGATTCCCACATCCTAAAACTGTCGTTTGACACAAGACCGAGAGAAGATTTGTGTTACAAATTTAATTATCGCGTCCTGGAACTTCCACCGCGCATCCTGTCGTATCACGACCGAGATTAAAACTACTAATTATTTAACACAATCGTACCGGAATAATTATTACCTTAGGCCGGGAATACCACCACCCTCGCCTCATTCGCCGCACATTATTCTGTTAATTTTAATGAAAAATTACGAGGGAGCCTTTATACATTTTAGTTAATCTATTCGGCTCGAAGCGGAGCTTAACATAAATTTACATGCGGTTAATTAACGCCTGGTGCAATTTGACGCGAGGCCATTCACGCAGACACCTTTTTGTTTCGTGATCCGTAGAATTAGAGAACATTGACTTTAATTCTAAGAATAAATAAGCCATATTTTTTATTACGAGAACAAACTAGGAATAACGCAATATTTCGTCATGTGTGCTAAATAGTCGATGTCTGACGCTAGTATTGAGAAATCCTTTCTCTTTTTATATCTAGCTTTACGAGGTTCATTGTTATATGTTCAACATCTAGGTAGAATGATTTTTAACTATGTGAACGGTGTGACAAATCTCGGCGGATGAGTAGGCAAAGATCAAGCGTGAATCGCAAATAGTATTAAAAAATGCTTAAAAAAATTCACAAATTAAAAAAGAATAATAATAAATAAACTTTTTTAGTAATCGAATAAATCTTTATACATGTTATAACCCGCTACTACCTTTTATTTATTATTTATATAATTATTCTATATTTATTATCTGTAAAATATTTCAGATATTGTTATTAACGAATTATTTCTTTTATATTAGTAAAATATACTACGGCTACGTGAGATTCTGCGAGTACATAGAGATCCAAGGCCGCGCGTCGAATCTCTTAGAATTTTTTTACTTTTACTTCGGGAAGGAAGCTTCGCGGCGGGTGAAATACGTATCCGGCGTACGTAAAAAGGAAGTAATACGTGATCGGAGAAGCGTAGACGCTCGGAGCGCGGATTAATCGCATGCGAGATATCGTCCCAACCTTCGACACCGTCTGAGGGCGTACTTAGGCGCAACGAACTTAATTAACTGAGCGCACGTGAGCCGTATCGGACGGCTGGTATTTTTTTTTTTTT